AGCTATGTGAACTCGGTGGTCATCTGCCCCTTTATGAGGTGGAATGGTTGCAACTTAGTTCGGGAGATAGTGCGTAAGTAATGGTGGTTGGAGCTTGAGGCGTATTTATTCTTGGCGTCTGAGACGGGGTTTGAGTTTCGTCGTGCGGAGGTGCACGAGATTCACATTTAGGAGGATGTTAGTCGCAGCCAGTAGACGCAGAGGGTAATGCTTTTCCTAGTTCGCCAAGTTCGAACCTACTTCAGACTATTTGTATAGATGCGCTGCACATCCAACCTCGAGTGTGTTCTTTCTTTCGGAACACGAGTCAGGGCGAGGGCAGAACGTGGTCTGTCCAAAGCATCTCTGTGGAGTACTAGTGCGCGTGTTTCTGGTTGAAGGTTTACGTGGTCTATGTTTGCAGCCCCTCCTAGCTACTAATACGTGCGAATTGTTTTGTAACAAATACAAATACAAATACTCATTTGTATTTGTTAGCACTGATGCTTTTAGATAGTGCTGAACTAGGGATTTACCGTGGTTTTGAGACCGAGTTATCACTTTGAATTTCTTAGTTTGAGCAGTAGTTTAATATGACGATGTTGCAAGTTTTAGCGCCGATGGTTTGGTAAGGGATAACATGTCTTAGAGTGCCGGCTGTATGCTGGCCTACCCGGCTTCTTTAGGAGAACTCCCGAAGTTCTCATTCTGTTTCACAGCTGATCACCCTATTTTGAGGGATTATACACAGGATGTGCTGCTGTTATAGTCGTGGTTGTTTATCTCCAGCATAGATGTGAATGGATCAGAGGAGGTGATCGGTGAAACTGTTCGTGCAATATGGAAGGATATTGGTGATCAGATGGTTCCAGAAGATGCAATGTATTGACAACAAGTGTCTCTGTTATGCAGAGATATATGCAACAGCATGAAGAAGTGGAATTGTCAGCCTTGGGAATGGGTGCGTACATAAGAATTCGAATACCCTGTGGTTTTTTAAACGATTTCATGTATGTGGCATCGGATGTCATCGTCACTGTCGGTGGTTCTTAGTTTTGTGCTGAATGTCGGTTTACATGTAGTTTGTTTGTGCGCGCTATCGTTCGTCTGTCATGTCAATTTGACGTGCTTGAGGATTACATTAGAGGTAGACAGCAAGATCCCACTGATGTTTCAACGTTCACGGCAATCCTGCAGCAATTGCTACGGTGGTCACGGTGGCTGAGATACTAAAGAACAACGGTTTGGCAATCGAGAAGAGTAAGTGTTTCGAGGGTCACACATCTTAGATTTTCAAGTTGAACCAATTATGCGCTTACGAGATATTGAACGCTGCAGTAAATAGGCGGAAGCTATAAATGTGATATTCTGTGATTTGTCGGTTGATTTTGCACTCGGAAGTGTTCAGTATTGCAGGATTGTTACCTTGTATTTTCTAGATGTGCGTGCGAGCTTCGTGTGTTTGACATGGACTCGTGTTTGGTTCGTGTGCGCAGGAATTCTAACCTCAACGGTGGACATGAAAGATGAGACCAGGGGTCGGCCCATTCAAAAAGCTAAGGTATAGTTTTTGGATATATTTCGTATCCAGTGGGGAATCCGTGGACTTTTAGTTGTGGCAAGGAGTTTCAGCTCGCCGCTAACTCGCAGTTGATGTGGATTGGAGCTTTTAAAATCTCGTTTGGTGTTTTGTTGGTCTGATGATTCTGTAGTTAATCCAGGACACCTAATAACTGAGGTCGACGATTTGATTTGGGTTGGGCAGGTCGAGATTATTCTGGGAAAGTCGGAACACTTCGATGAGTTGATGGCCGCTGCAGCAGAAGAGCGAGAGTTAGCTCCTGAGGAGGATCAGGTTGGCCCCTGACGTAGACTTCCCTGTAGTTAGGTGTAGAGTAGACAGTGGCTCACATCTCCCTCCATACATTGTACATGTCGATTTTGACAGCTTCAAAGTTCAATGAAATCTTTGATGCCCTTGAGCACATCGGACAATTTTGCCAGGGTGATTATACGATATTTTGTCAGCGACAACCCGTTTGTGCAGTGAGACTTGCATTTCAAGTGTTGATTGACTCTTTTTGGCCTCCCTCTTGCAACCAAGTACGTGAATGTGGACAGCTTGATAAGTCGTCACTTGATACGTGAATGTGGCATTTGAGCACGGATTTTGAATGAAACATTGGGAAATGGTGATGGATAAGTCTTTCCTCACATTACCTCGCGTCCGAAGGTCAATGGTCACGTGTGGTTTCCAAGTGTTGCATTCGTTGTGTGTGGCGATGGATTTATTTTAGTCTTGGTTAAGCTTCCTCCACTGTGACTGGGTTTCAATTTATTCGTGGGTATGCACTCAAGTGACTAGGTATCAAACTGTTATCAAGATGCACTATTTTTGTATAAGAAGCTATGCCTTCTACTTCATGTGATGGTGTTTCAGAGTTATTTGAGTTTCACCCTTTAGCTTATCTTACTTGAGCTTGTTTTATTGTAGTGTTTATTTGTTGTGTGGCATAACATGGTATTAGAGCAAGCTGCATAGGAGAATGATAGAATCACGTCTAGGTAGGAATCACACCAATAGAGTTGGGGACCATGGATTTAGTCATAGTATAATCCCAAATGTTATTTGGGACTTGGAGGAGCACAATTTAGAGCACATTGGAAAGGAAGGACTTATGGGAAAACTTTTTTACAATGAAACCTATAGATAGCCACACATTTCCACACAGATAATAATCTCAACAGAGATTACAATAATATTATTATTCTTATTATTATTTCTATGATATTTTTAAGATTACAAATGATATTCATGTGGACCAAATTGCCATGCTAGTATGGCACCAGCAGTATAATGGAGACGCTAACGTAGGCGAGTGATGTGACAATGAAGTCATATTTCGAATTGCCAATGCCTTAGAATGAGATTCCAACAACGAGATAATTTGTCTCATGTTGTCATATTGTAATTGCTTATAGTATGTGATAATTAATTAAGACATATAATATGTTTGTAAGTCTTCATGTAGATTAGAGTGGTTAGTAAATATAATTGAAGAGAATTGATATAAAAAAAATCATTTGGAGATTTATCTATTTTGATTATAATTTTTATTTTATGTAGGATTTATATATTTAGTATAAAGCTTAAGAGAATGTTGGAGTTAAAGGGTGAAATTCTAAACTATTAGGAGGCTTATTGGGAAGGATGAAAGCATGGTATGGTGGGATGATGGTAAGGGGTGAAGATTTTCATCCCTATTAGTCGAATGTCAGGTCCAATGGCCTTCAAGGAGGTTGCTCGAGGCCCTATTAGGGATTAGGGTTTCATTTTTAGGAGCCTTCGAGCTTTGGAGGCCAGGGTCAACAAGTTCAAGGTTTTGGGTATAATTTGGATGAAGAATTTGTGTGATTTCGAGTTTTTGTGAAGGAATTTTAGGTATTCGAAGTTAAGGTGTTAATTTAAGACATATTGTTATTCTTTTGAGGATACGAGGAGTTGTACGGTAGCTTTTGAAGATCGAAAGGTGTGGTTGAAACGGCAATTTTAAGGCTTACATCTTTTATGAAAGAATTGTTGCTTTTGGAGTTCATGTGAAGGAGTTATAAGGAGTTGAAGGCGGCGCTTCCAAATCAAAGGCAGTAAGTGAGCAGTTTTGTTTATAGTAATGGTTGGAGCCATAACTTGAGTTTTCGGACAAATTTTTGTCTCAAATATTTTTGAAAATGTAAAATTTTGTGTTAAGAAGCTATACATACAAATTTCGTGGCATTTGAGCTTATATTTTGTGAGATATGAAGAAAATTTCACGCAGGTATATAAAGACAAGGGTTTGAAGCGACTGTTAGAGTTTTCAAGATATCTCAAGATCCGCAATTAATTTGCAATTGAAATTTGTGTAAAAAGTGAATAAGAATACATTAATACCTCACGTAAATTTTGAGTTTATTTGGACGGTCGGATTAGGAGATATGAGGTGTTGAAGTTCAAGAAAATTTCCACATAAGGATATACAAGGATTTAGAGGATTTTATCATATTTTGGGTGTTGATGGTTACTTGAGGCTTGTGTAATTGGTGTAATTTCTCAAAAGAGAAAATTTATATTTAAACTTAGGGCTTCTCTTATTTTGAAGCTTGATTGAACGATTAGTGACAACCAGAAGCCTAGCGTTTTCTTGAGGCAAATTCTCTCTATGCCGACATATTAGTGCTTCCACTAAGAGAGCCTTAAGGCACTATTTTTTTCAACAAGTTGAAATGAGAGATCATAATCCAGGGTTAGGATTATCAGGAGGAGTGGATGCCTATTGTTCTCCTTGTGTTCAAGCTTCAATATACCAAAGCAATTGAACTAATAGTAGTGGGTTCGAACATGGAGAAAGACTAGTTGTATGAATTGGGTCTGTTAGTGTCACAATTGACTGTACTCTGGCTATCTGAAATCAACTATCAACTACAAAACACCAAGGCTTACTACTTTCGTCTTAATTCAATCCATAATCCATTCTATGACTATCAATTCAATAATACTTCCATATTCTTATCCGTTTATCTTCCACTTACTCTCTTTGTGGTTTATATATATTCAATTATTGATTTCCAACTTATTGTATTCAGTTTCTTGATTCATCACACAGAATTCAATATCTCAGCTTACAACTTTCACAGTCTGATACTCGAGACCAACTTCTCAGTATAAAGAAACTATCCATTACTCATCAACAACAAAGAAACAAAAAAGAAGTAGCACCAGGCTTCCTCCGACTTATGAATATCACAGTTTGTCCTCGATCTCTCTTTCTTCAACCTCTTTATCCTACCAAAAGATGGACCGTTGGCCAACAGATTCCAAAGGTTATGACCCTTTGAATTCTTAACCATTTATTCCACTAACAACCTACTATTACCAACTAAACTGCCTAATTATCAATCTAATTCTCAAGGTTGTCAATAACTAATCAGTAACTTACCACAAAGTTTATTTACCTATTCTATATAGCCCCACTCTTAATTGTGAAGCATCCTTGCAAACATTATTTAGCCTCAACTTATAAAGACGTAGTAACATTGGCTTTTTCAGTCAATGGCGTTAGCTTACTCTCCTTTGAATTGGTGACCTTCTCCTTTGCTACATCTTCGTCATCTACCTCGGTATTCGAGGGTTCTCCATCCAAACGCATAGACCGATTTTCATTCAACAAACCCAATTCCCATACCTAAAACTCACGTCGGGTAATTTGGTTGTCACATTCCTCCAACATCTTTTGCCATTCTTCTGTCAGTTTCAAAGGTATCTTCGTAGGTGTTGTCGCTGAAACTGGCATATTGGTCCACACTAAATTATTGGCCTCCTTCGCTAATGCAACAAGTTTAGTCTACAACATCGCAACCTCTACCTGTAGCCATTCTTGTCGTTCCTTCCAATCGGTTTCCAACCTTGCTTTCTCAGACACCATGTTCGCCATTTTCTCCTTAACCACAAAAAAAAATATGATGCTTGTCAAGAGTCCCCCTCCTACTTCTTACTATGGTCCAATCAATTGCGTCAACTCCCCCTTATTTCCTACGATTCATCATGATGAAATATCCTATCATCATCATTATTTACCTTCCTTCTTCCCTTTTGGAACTGAAAATCCATCCCAAGTTTATGTATAGTAAAGTTTAAGCCGATTGCCATTGATCCATGTTGTAAATTTAATATCTATAAAATCTTCCAATTGTACTAAATCATTTGGAAATCCGTCAATAACTCGATATGGCCCATGCCATCGAACTTAAAATTTTTTTGGAAAATTTTTAAATCGACTATCATAAAGAAATACCAAATCATTTGGCATAAAAGTCTTTGGTCTAAGCTTACTATCATAATAAGTCTTCCTTTTTTTTTTATATAGTTTCCATGATCATTAATGCATTGGCTCTAATTTCATCTAATTTTTTCAATTCTTCTAAATGATGTCGTAATGAATCCTAATCTCTCAATCTTGTATCTATAGCAATTCGTAAACTTTGGACTTCCAATTTAATATGTAATATTGCTTCCTGGCCATAAACCAATTGGAAAGGGGTAGCATTGGTAGTAACTTTATATACAGTACGGTATACCTATAAAGCTACAAACAACTTAGTGTTCCAATCAGTTCCCGCTCTTAAAATTATTTTTGTTAAGATTTTATATAAAATTCCATTAGTCTTTTCTATTGGCTCTAAGATGATACGGTGTAGTCTTTCGATGTTTTATCTCGTATTTAGCCATGAGTGCTTCGATTGTATTATTTATAAAATGAGTTCCTTGATCACTAACCAATTCTTGTAGACAACCAAACTATTTAATAATATTTTCATACAAAAAGGTTGCTACTATACTTGCACTATCGATTTTCGTAGCTATGACTTCAGCACATTTTGTTATGTAATCCGTTGCTACCAATATATACCATTTTTGTCCATTTCTCGAGGCTAGTGCAATTGGTCCCACAAAATCAATTTTTGTTAGAGACATAGTCGTTAGAACCTTCTAGAAGCAAGTCTCTGGAACCTTCTAGAAGCTTCTTAGTTGGTCGAAGTTGCTTGAGAAGCTTCCTAAATAGGAGTATATATTGGAATCGAGATTGAAGAGTTCTTTAGTCTCGACAACACATCTCTTGGAGCTCTAGCTCATCTCTCTGGTGTTGTTCTTGTATTCATCTGATTAATCTAGTTCTTGCCAGTTCTTCTTGAACTTCTTCTTAGATCTTGAGCCTGTATTTCTATGTCTCTGACAGTTTGTCGAGACTTCACTCACCTCACATATCAGAGCTAGTTTCTTCCTCCTTAGAGTGTGGATTACCCCTCTGCTTGAAGGTGTACTAGCGTTTTAGAGGTTGCGGATTACCCTCCTCTAAACTGATACTTCTTTTGTTACAATATTGGAGTCTTATTCTTCTTGGAGAGAGTGGATTATCCCTTTTCTTGAAGCTCTTAAGGCATTTTAGAGGTTGCGGAGTACCCTCTTCTAAACCAATATTG